ATTGCAATTTTTTGTCCAAAAATTCTATTAAATAAAAACCTCTTAAAGGGAAAAAAAAAAGCAAAATACCATCTAAAAGTAGGAATAGGCTGATAAAAACAAAGTATTTTCACAAAGTTGCTTTTTTACTACTTAAAGTACCAAAAATTGTTAGCTAAAGGTATCAAAAGACTAGCTAAATGTAGCAATAGGCTAGCTAAAAGCTAAAAGTGAAAAATGGTAAACTAAAATAATAAAAATAGAAGATTGGTGGCAAAAAGCTTAAAGAAGGAAAAGTCTAGCTAAATGTTAAAGTTTAAAAAAAAAGCTAAAAACTAAAATTTGCAAAATGACTAGCTAAAAAGTAAACGAAGAGCTAAAAGTAGTATAGAAATAGTTATGTAAAATAAAAGTGTTTTTAAAAGCTAGCTAAAAGTAAGAAAGTCTAGCTAATAGTGTCAAACGGCAAACTAAAAATTAAAAGTAGCAATAGGTTAGCTAAAAGCTAAAAGTAGCCGATTGTTGCTTAAAACTAACAAAAAGCTAACAAAAACTAAAAGTGGAAAAAGGTAAATGGAGAGCTAAAAGTAACAGGTTTGTAGAAAAACGTTAAAAGACGCAAAATGTTAAATGATAGGAAGAAAAAAAGCTAAAAGCAAAAAATGGCTAGCAAGCAGATCAGTAGCTGAAAGCTAAGAGAAGCAATGCTAAGAAGCAGAACAGTAGCCAAAAGCTAAAATTAGCATAAGAAGGCACAAGTAGAGTCAGTTTAAGCTGTTTTTAAGGAACCAGAGATCTTTGTTTTAATGAAGAAATTAGTTGGAAACAAAGTGAAATATTTTGAAAAGTGTTGCAAAACAAAAAGTCACAGCATCTATGAGCCGAACRTTCTGATAAAATACTGACAAAAACAACACAAAGTTTTCAGATTTATTTAGTTTTTAAAAACACTCAGAAAAGAAACTCAGGATTCCCACAGAAAGATGCTCCAGGTTTACCTGACTCTGCTGTCCGGCTGCAGGCAGGACGGACGACACGCCCGAGTTTAAACCCGGAGAAGCAGATGTTTTTGCAGCCGTCTGCTCCAGCTGTGGTGCTGCCACGTCTGGATCAGGTACTGGACCCCCCCAGACCTCCGTGGGTTCTGTAAGACTGGARGAGTTCGGGAGAATCTGAGCGGTCGTGGTCTCCCCCTGAGCCGGGTGCAGCAGGGACACTTTAGAGATCTCCAAGGCCGGGAGCACAGCCGAAGACGTCCGAACCACCAAAGGAGCTTCTTCTGGAACCTTTATAGAGGAGAGTTCCTCAGCCGGTTCCTCGGCGGGTTCTGCTGCCTGAGATGAGCCGTCCTTTTCCACGGGACCAGTTTGGTTCGATAGCTGAGGTAAATAAGGAGACGATTTCGGCTGTTTCTTCTGCAGTCTTAAAAAAAATCAGAGACGTAAAAGAGAATTAGTGTCACTCAGTTTGTCACTCATTTTATCAAGAAAACAATCAGAACTCACTGCGCAACGTGCTCAAAGTGCTGGTCCCCGTCAGAATCTGAGGACGAGGCACCTGTAAGATCAAAGCCTGCATCAGAAACTGAGGATGTGACGGAGAGACACCATGAAAGTGTAAACGGGACAGAGAGGAAACACCTTCCACGTAGATCTCGGCTGACGTGGAGTCCGTCCCGTAGATGTTCGATGCAAAGCAGGAGTATCGACCGGTGTCTTCCTCGAACGCTTCGGCGATGATGAGCGAGTGCAGCTCTCCGCCGGTGAGGATCTGGATGTCGGGGCAGTCTTCCAGCTCCTTTCCCTCACAGAACCACCTAAAAGCCGACGGAAACAGGTCCAACTGTAAAAAACTCGAGATGTTCCCGGGCCAAAAGTTCCACATCCAGGTTCTGATTCAAACATCAGGACCACTGGTTRGTGTTGGAACGTTGACGGACCAGTAAATCAAGAGTTTTGTCTTGTTTTGTCTGTGAGACCCGGTGACACTTTAAACAAGCTGAACGGGTAATGGAAATCTTGAAGGATCCCGTGACAATAATTAAAGGTCACAGGAGTTTTAATAAAATGTAAGGATACATTTATCCAGGTCTGATTGCTCAGTCTCTACGTCAGCGTCCGTTTATTCTGAGAGGATGATGCTTCTTGAAATTGAGCCGATACACAATTGAGAGCGTCACACACCCGTAAACCTGTCAGTTCACCCCCCCAAAAAAACCAGACTGATGTGAACTTTAAGTCATCCGAGCCCCACGCAAAATCAAAACTGGCCTCCAACACCGTCGCTGTTGGAGGAAACGTTCTGTTGGTGGAATGTTCTGTGGTTCTACCGGTGAGTAAGGGTCTAAATTGAAAGCATGAGTAGCAGAGGGGACTGGTATGAAGCAAAGCCCCCCACCACGGTTYGCTGCACCTGTCTGGGATATTTTTCCTCCGGAGATCCAGAGAGGAGATTCCCTCTGAGAGCCTGGGATCTCTGACTAAACATAGACCCAGAATACACACGGTGACACACGCAGAGAACTCCTCAACCCCACTAAAACCRGCAGTACAATCATAACTTTTCTAATTTATCTCCTCTGAGTCGCAACCAAACTTCATACAGAAACAAAACATTCTTTAAAAAAGAGAAAAGTAGGATGAAGCAAAGGTCACATCTTGTCAACAGGAAGCAGCGMGGTCAGAGAAACGTCTCCCGGATGATTAAAAAAAAAGGGTGCAAATCTTACCGAAGTGCTCACGCTCCTGTCCAGAGCKCAGCCGGCTCCATTATCAAACTGGACTGCAGCGTTGCCAGGGCGCTTCTAAAAATGGCCCAGAGCTACATTCTCCACAGACAAGTTTAGTGGCTCAACAATGTTCAGAACAAACCGGCGAGTCCTGAGGTCCGACATCTCAGCGGCTCAGGTTTCTGCTGGGAGTTTAGAACATCYAACAGAACCGACAAAGAAGAATAACAATAAAGTTTAGCACATTTTGACCATAAACGTCTTTAAAATGGCCTTTTCGGAAATAATCTTTGGATGTACATCTTCCACAAGTCAACCCAACTTAAGATGGCTGCTACCGCCAACTGACGTTAGAACGCACAAAACGGCAAAAACTCAAACTATTTCACAGACATTACGCTAAAATTGGGTGTGGTAGTGGCTGAGAGTCAACCTCAACAGAGATGTGTTCTTGGATGTAATCGTTGGATAAAATACCTAAGACTAATGAACAAAGATGGCCGCCACAAAATACAAGGATAAATACAACTCTGTCAGTTTTACAGAAAGTTATAAAATCTGTTATGTTAGTAGCTGAGACTTACTCTGACAAACTTACTCTAAGTACTACACATTGACCAAAACTTTCAGAAAGTAGTCRTTGGACGACTACGACCGATTAACTTTTGGAGTCCAATTCAGAATGGTCGCCATATCTTCTTGACCCTAGCCAATACAAACCGATATAACTTGTACAGTTTGGTAGATACTGACATAAAATTTGGTGTAGTATTAGCTGGAGGTCATTTAAAACACACACTCAGAGATCTATCCATTCTTGAATGATATTGTTAGGTATGCTGTAATATGATTGGCATCTGGAGTTGATCAAAGATGGTGGCCACAGAACATAATAACCACACCTCTGTCAATTTTACAGAGTTGAAATATGTTTTGGTAGTACTTGAGACTTAGTCACAAAACCCACTCCAAGTACAACACATTGACTAAAACTTTTACTTTTATTAGAAATCAATCAATGGATGAACATTTACAACCGATCGATTTATTGAGTCCAATTCATAATGGTCGCCACATCTTGTTGAGGAAGCCAATACAAACGTTACTATAACTCGTTCAGTTTTATAAATACTGAGATCAAATTTGGTTCCCAACCAGGGGTACACCTACCCCTGGTTGGGAATCACTGCTTTAGGGGAACTGTGCCCACCACTGTCTACAACTACTTAACTTTTGGAGTCCAATTCAAAATAGTTGCCACGTCTTGTTGACCCTGGCCAATAGAAACTATAATTTACTCATTCAGTTTTAAAGATATTGAGATAAAATTTGGTGTGGTAGTAGCTGAGAGTCATTCACAACACATATTCAGAGTGTGACATCTTGCATTATTGCATATTACAAATCAACCATCTAAGTCTCAAACACAATGGCATGAGAGATGGCAGGCGATGTGCATTCCTCCGAGTAATGCTCGGCCTTAGTTTGACTTTATGGTTTTACMCCCCTGACCACACAAATACAGGGTCAGCTGACTCAGAACAGAACCAGCTGTCGGCTGTCATCACGCGTCCCTTCTGTCAATGTTGCCCAAGAACCCAGCATCGTTCTTCCCGCCTCTAATCCTCCAAGTTCTTGAGACTCAGTCAGCGTCATCTGAGCTCTCAGCAGATGAATGGATGAACAAACGGCCAAAGAAAATTTAAAAAACGTTGCTTTGATTGAAACTTCTGTCGTGTCCGCCGATTTATCAACACTTTACTGGAAACTCAGACCAGTGAAGTCGACAAAACAAGTGTCTACCCTAAAGTCATCTAATAGAAAGACCAAAAACCAAAACAGCACACAAGCTTCAGGACCAGAACCCTGCACCTACCAAGACATTCAGGGCTTAGTTATTTGTAGTTTCACCATTTTGTGTCTTCTTTTTCCAAACTACCTCAAAAACCTCTGGACCACCACAGTCCAGTCATCCATTCCCCTCAAACCAAACAGTTGTTTCTGGTCTTACCGAACTTCAGGTGCTGGATGTCCTTGTACGATGCAGTCTAGCCGGACCTTGCTGCCTTCAGGAACCTCCCTGCTCTTCAGTTTCTGGATGAAATGTGGCGGCCCACATGCAGGTTCTGCCTGATGTGGACTCTCARCCTGATCTCCTTCCTCCTGGGACACAAAGTCAAAACGCTCCTCTTGTGTAACTCCACAGTCCTGAAACTCCACGAGCTGACTCCCCGGGTCCTGCTGAGCCACCGGGTGGTGGGTGACAGCTGGGACAGGTGGGTCGGGTCTGTCCTTCTCCGCCTCCAGAGGCAGGACGGCTCGCTCCCTGCTGTCAGAGCTGAGGGGATAGATGTTCTCCTCGCTCTGGGTCTTGTTCTGAACCCGGCTCCTGTGGGCCTTGCAGGACCTTGGTCGTACCCGTTTGGAGCTGTTGGCCTTAAAGAGGGAGGAGAGCTCCTCGATGAAGTCCGCCGCCTTGTTCAGGAACTCCTTTTTGGACTGGGTCTCCGGACCATATGGGGCACTTTTTGCTGGACTGTTCCGATGGTTGAGCCCCTCCATGTTGTTCCGGATCATGTTGTCCTCCTGTGTGGACGCTTTGTGCACCTTTCTGTTGGGGTGGACCACCGGTACCTCAGAAGACGTCTGGGTGGTCGAGGGGGGGACGAAGGGGACAGGCGAATGGTTGGAGAAACACTCTCCTGACATCGAGGGTGGGATGTTGGAGGTGGTAGCCGAGGTCACCGAAGCCTTGACCCCTGTCCTCTCATCGCTGGGCTCGTGTCCGATGGCCTGGCGGGCCAGATTCACGCTCTCATCCAGCTCCTCCTGACTGAGGAAGGCCGACAGGTCCGGGAGCGGGGGGTCGCGGCGGCCCAGGGTGTCGTCACCCTTACCTTTAAGAGACCCGTAGATCTGAAGGTGCGAGGAGGAAGCATCTGAATGACTCATGTCACCRAAGAACTTGGGTCTCTGCCAGTGGGGGTCAACTTAAATCTGAGACAGAGGGGGGGTCTGGTCAGTGCTGATTATTACTGAAATTCACACAAAGTATATTTTTATATATATTTTTAAAATTACATTCATTTATAAATGAAAAAAAAAGAGAAAATTGTGGCTCAGCATGAACTGAGCTGACAACCGAGCTAGCATTTATTTTGCTACATTGTGTTTCTCCCTAATTTTAGCATTAGCATCTGTTTCACAGCTGATTTTAGCATTTGTTTTGCTGTTTTCAGCTACTGGTTTTTTCCTGGGTCTTGTTGTTGATTTAGATAAAATAACTTATTTATGAGTTTCATTAAAATTGATCCTGTGGTTCCCAAAACTTTAGCATTAGCATCTGTTTAACTGCTAATATTAGCTCTTGTTTTATTTTCAGCTGCTGCTTTTCTCGTCTGATACTGTTCAATACAGAAGCTGAAGCTCTGCTGCTTTTAGCTTGTGTTTGTTTTCCACATTGTTGCTAATGTATTTCAAATTTTAAGTTAAGCAGCTSTTAACTTGCAGTTAGCTACCGTTTTGCTCATTCTAGCATTAGCTTTACWAACTTTAGGTTTAGCATGTTTTTAKCTACTGTTTTGCTCRTTTTTGATACTGTTCAATACAGACAGTTTTTAGATTTTGTTTTGCCACATTTTAGCATCTGGTTTGCTAATTAAACATCTGTTTTGCAAAATGTAGCTAATGTATGTCAAATGTTGGGTCAAGCATAGCTATTAGTTTAGCTACTATTTGCTAATTTCAGCATTTGTTTTATACTTAAAGCTGATGTTTTGCTCGTTTTTGATAGTGTTTATTACAGCTGCTAAAGCTACAGTATGCTGGTTTTAGCTAGGGTTTTGCTAATTTTAGCTTACTTAAAGCTTATTTCAGCCTCATTTTAGCTTGTTTTAACTTTAACAGCCCAATTTGATCTCCTTTAATAAATATCAGCAGTAATTTGGCTCTCAACAGTTACATTGCAATAATTTATTTAGCTGTTCCTAACTTTAACACAAAAACTTCAAAATGGCCAAAATGCCTCGTGGCAGTTCAGACTTCAAGCAAAAACTAGATTACCAAACTTTACCTGATATAAAGTTACAATTTTTTGTGAAATAAATAAGATTTGTAGAAAAAATAATGTTTTATTTCGGCCTAAACGGTTTCTGGTTTATGTCCTGACACCTGATCAGGTTCAGGTGCAGGTTTGTGGCCCCCGGTCCACCTCAGAGCAGGGTTAGGGTCTTATTTATTCATATTTTTTATTTCTTGAACACAGACGTGAAACAGAACACACATGTGCTGCTGACACTCAAATCTGTGCGATCAGGGGACACAGAGATGTCCATCCAAATGGACCAGAACCTGGACCTGGATCTGGACCTGCAGCTGTTGTGCACATTAATACTGTGCAAACAGGGTCCTAACCCACCGCGTCACATCTATTAATAACCTGGGATCAGTTTACATGAAGAAAATCAACACACACACACACACACACACACACACACACACACACACACACNCACACACACACACACACACACACACACACACACACACACACACAAAGCAACAACCAGAACAGGATTGAAATTAAAGGTTTAGTTTGTTTTAACTTCAGATTAGATTTAGCCCCGCCCCCCTCTCTGAAGGATCTGACACACCTGTGGACTCCGGAGACACTCCAGTCCTCAGGTCGCTCCCTCCTGGATAGGTCTTGGACCTGGGGCAGGTGCTCCTGGTGGCAGGGGCCTCCTGGTGTCCCCAGGCAGAGTCGGCCCCTGAAGTTTACAGGAACTGTTGGGCCTGGGATCTGCAGCGACCTGTCACTGGGAAAAAGCAGCAACATTTGTCAGCAGCGGCTGCAGGTTATTTTGAGGAGGCCTGACCCGGGTGTCTGGGTGGCGTCCATCCTCATTGGACAGGCGGGGTCGGGGGAGGGGGGTCTCACTGTAAAGGGATCCCATCATCCGGTGCATGGTCTGTCAAATCCCCTCGGTCCTACAGAAGTCATCAAAACTGTGACCTGAGGTTAAAACATTTCTGAAATAGTTTTACCTGCGTGGTCACAGAATTTAACACCCGATTTATTCAAACAGCAGCTAAAAGCTAAGTTTAACTAAACCATAGCTAAAAGACAAAGTCATAAATGTTCAAAGCTGAAATCATCTAATTTGTTGTTAAAGTCTGAAATGAGAAAAATCACTTAATGCTAAATCTGGTAGCTAAAACTAATACAGTAGCTAAAATCTCAAATAAACAAAACTATAATTAAAAGTTAAAATTATCAAGATCATTACTAATGGCTACAAATAAAACTACAGCTAAAGATCAAAATATATAAATTTATTAGCTAAAACTTTAATTTATGAAAACCATAGAAATCAGCTAAAATTTGAAAAGCATTAGCTAAAATCCCAAAGCAGCAAGATTAAATTCCAAGGCTAAAATTAGAACAAAAGTAGCTAAAATTAACAATGCAGTAGTTACAGTAGCTAAAAGCTAAAATTAAGGAAGTTGTAGCTAAAAGCTAAATATAGGACTCGCTAAACTAACAATACAGTAGCTAAAAGCTAAATCTAGAACTCGCTAAACTAACAATACAGTAGCTAAAAGCTAAATCTAGAACTCGCTAAACTAACAATACAGTAGCTAAAAGCTAAAATTAAGGAAGTTGTAGCTAAAAATATAATTGTAGTTCAAAGCTAAAATTTTCTTAACTGTTAATCTGAAAGGAGCAAAATCAAAGCTAAAAGCTAAATCTAGGACTCGCTAAACTAACAATACAGTAGCTAAAAGCTAATATAAGCAAAATTACAGTTAAAAGCTAAAATTGAATTGCTGACAAAAGCTAAAATGATCATGAACAAAACTGCAGCTAAAGATAAAAATTAGGCTTAATTTATCAAAATAGTATAGAAGCTAAAATTAGCAGAGCTGCAGTTAAAACTGACAGAGCAGTATCTACAGTAGCTAACAGCTAAAATTGTAAAAAGCAACAGCTAACGGCGCAGGATAACGTGTAGTTGTTTTTTTGAGGCGGGGGCTGACATCTTACTGGACAAGAGGCAGGGGACACCATGGACACGTGGTCCATCACAGGGACAGAGACAAACAGGGGTCTTCAGGAAGTTTATTCTCTGTAAAAGCGCCCCCTACTGTTCAACATTTGCACTCGCTGTGTTTTCTTTGTGGACAAAAACCTTTGTGAAAGCCAAAGCAGGACTCGTGTCAATCATTTAATGAGTTCTTTACCAAATATGCACCGTCGACAAAAGCTAGTGTGCACGGCCCGCGAGCCGGGTCCAGAAATATTTACAGTATCAACAGGTTGTACACGGTAGAAACATTTTAACCATGTTTGCATATCATGTTTCAGTAAAATCAACACAAAAAAACTCGATTTGATTTGAGGAGTTCAGGAAAGAAAACTTTAAATACTATGAAGAGTTTGTAAAAAATATCTGGCACTTGTTCTGACGTAAAACCTGTGGCTACCACGGTTTTAGAGTACCTGGTAGGTAGTACTTACACAATATTTGCCTTGTAAGTACCTAATACTTACAAGATACTTATGTTATGTACCAGATACCTAATGGGTGCTAACAATGTAATTAGCAGGTATATACTGTCAAGTACTTACCTGGTACCTGATTCGAGGTAATTACCAGATACACACCTGGTACAAATTTAATACTTGCAAGGCAATTACTGAGTATGTACCAGATACTCAAAAAGTATGTATCAGGTAGGAACCAGGTACTCTACAGGTGAGTACCAGGTATGTATAAGGTAATTACTTATTACATATCTGCTACTTACAAGGCAATTACTGAGCATGTACACAGTCCTAACGAGGTATTTCTCAGTTAAGTATCAGGTACTTACAAGGACTTTTTCAGGTAAGTACTATGTACTTAAAAAGCAGTTACTGAGTATATACCAGAGGTATATAAAGTACTTAAAAAAGACATGTAAAATAAGTGTGACGTGTTCAGAACACCTCAGCAGGTTTGAACACAAGTAAAGAAGTATTTTCTTTATGTTTTCAATAAAATAAAATGAAATATAAAGTTACAAAAAAGTTTAAATCCTCAAAAAATCACTTAAGTACTGTAATAAAGTAAATGCACGTTGTTACTGTACCATACACCTCTGGTATGTACCCAGTACCTACAAGGTATTTTATCAGCTACATACCTGGTATTTTCTCAGCTAAATACCTAGTACTTATAAGATGTTTATGAGATACATATCTGACACAGTGTATTTCTGTGGTATGCAACTGGTACTTAGAAAGTATTTATCAAGTACGTACCCGGTACTTACAAAGTAATTACCAGGTACATAGCTTGTACACTTCAGGAACACACCTGGTACATATTGGGTAAGTATTTTGTAAGATTTAGGTACTACGGGAGGTGGTCATAAAACTAGAATATTATGAAAATGTTGATTTATTTCATTAGCTCCATTCAAAAAGTCAAACTTTCATTTTATATTCATTCGTTACACACAGACTGATATATTTCAAATGTTTATTTCTTTAATTTTGATGATTATAACTGATTTAAACTGTGCTCTCTGAGGTCAACGCTGATGTCTACCAGGAAGGGTCAGAGCACTTCCTGCTGCTGACATTTTCCAGCAGGACTCCCTGGCTCAAAGTGTCTGTGACATGCCTATTTCAAATACAAATAGTCAAAGAAAATATATTCATATTTAGGAAACTTAGCATAAAAATAATGATTTAACCCATTATGTCACATAAATGGCATATTTTCCTTTGAATTTGGCTCAGCTAAAGTGAAACAGGAAGTGACATCAAAGGGGAACTCTTTAAGAAATAAAATTCCCTGGTCTCGGTTTATAAAACAATATTATTTGAACTCTGATTTTTATTTTCATCTCTTATAGGACTAAAACGATAAAAAAAAAAACAGAAAATTCCCTGCTGGTTGTGTTGTTAGCCGTTGTAGCAACGCTCTGTTTACATGCAGAGATTCCCCTTTGACATCACTTCCTGTTTCTTCACATGCAAATATGTCAACAAACGTTCATCTCAGTGGTGTGAAATCGCTTTTGCAAAATGTTCATGTTGTCTTTCCATAAGTGCAATCACATTTATCACAAACATTTGATTTCACAGGCACTTTAAGGATCATGGTATCCCTGTTCTTCGAGGTAACATTCTAATTTTCTGATACTGAATTTGGGGTTTTCATTAGTTGTCAGTTATAAACATCAAAATTAAAAGAAATAACATTTGAAATATGTGAGCCATCATATCGAAATGAGGATTAAGTCAAATTTGGTCAAAATGACTTAATTACATTTTCAGATTCCTGCTTTAAAAGCTACATTTTGATACGTGGATCATCCTGTTTTCATAAACAGAACCAGAGATAGGCTTTCATTTGTCTTGTTGTTACGATAATACATTAATATTTGGTCTGAATCCTAATTTTATGTAATTTTTATGAGGAATTTTACTTCAAAATGACTTAATTACATTTTCAGATTCCTGC